AAGGAGAGAGAGAGAGAGAGAGAGGCAGGGGGGAAAGCTTAAGTGGCGAAGATGTCGAGGTGACGCGATAAGGAACGTTGAAATTCAGACCGACGAATTGGGGTGACAAATTGGCGGGCCGATTTACGAGGGTATAATTGGCGGTGTCGCGCCATCGGGTTTGCTCTAGTATCAGAAGGCAAAGAAACGTAGGCGCAGAGCGAAAAGGCAAAATGGATGGTTGCGGGAGAGGAGGGGGGGGGGCAGCGAAAGGGAACGGAGTTCACGCGAATTTGCATAAGGCGGGCGATACTCGCACGTGCAAAACTCGACGTGCAGCCCGAAAAAAAGAGGGAGGAAAAACGGGGCGGTCAGGTGCGCTCGTGAACGCGAAGGCCCAAAGAAAAGAACAGAGCTGTCCGAACCCGCGCATTGTTTGCATACCCTCCTAACGAAGTTTTTGCAACTGCAGCGTGCACCTGCGCCGCGCACTTAAATTCAATGACGTTTCAACGATTTCAGTCACTCCGAGTGTCCACTATGTATAATTCACTGTCTGCGGGCGACGTAACAATAAAAATGACGGTTTTTCGCGAACCTCCTGTCGCTATCTTAATTTATACAGAGCTGCAGATAATTCATCATTAACGTTAACTTTTCGCCTCGTATTTCACTAGGTATATTTTTCTAGAGCCATGTACCTTTCACGCCATAATGCTCCGGTTTCATCTTCGTAATGAAAAGGGACTTATAACTTACCAATGAAGTATATTCAAAATAGTTATATCTCGCGTACACAGCATAAAATATCGCTACATCGTCATGTAATTGTCGCGTGATTATTATATATTCAGTTGTAACGAGATCTCAGTCACCACCATCAAACAATTACGCGGATCTGGCTGCGCATCGCGGCGACGAGGGTCGTTTTCGCGAGGCAAAAGATATCGAGACGAGCGAAGACGAGTAGGAAATAGACGAAGATGGAGGAACGCCGAGGAGGGATGGAATGGAAATGGTAGGGGATTGGAACCCAAGGAGGGAGTCACTCCCGAAGAGAAGCAAGCCGAGTGGCGACGCCTCAGTGACCGAGCTTACTCTCCCTTGTGCTTTCGTTCGCAAGCGCGGCCTGCCGGATTCTCGTTTCTTCTGTATTAAACACGCAAACACACTTGCGCACGGACGTACATACACGCGCGTATACACCCCCGCGTTTTCCCTTCGTTCCTCTGTCTGCGTAACGTCGCGCATAGAGCCGACCGTTTTCCACCCTCGTGGCCGCCTCGTGGACCTTCCCTTTCGATTCCCTCGATACAGCCCTGGGAATAGTTACACGCGCCCTCCGGCGCCATTCCTTTCCCTCATTCTTTCTTTCCCTCGCTTAGATGGTTACGTATTCAACGTATCAGAAAATTCCGCAACTGTCTCTCCGGTCCGTCTCGAAGGAAAGATTTTGCGCGCATTCGACAGGCCTCGTAGTTTTGCATTGTCACACACGTTGGATCAGTATGATTTTGATAAATTCGAGATGCCACGTGCGTCGCTTCTGTTGATTCTGCCAGAAACAAGAGTGCTTTAGACGATCGTCAATGAGCGTCGTCGTGCCGCGCGCATTTTTAGTGACAGTGATTAGCGTTTTATATTTTGTACGATTGATGATTTCACCTTTGATTGTCAGATCCTTTTGAAGTGAAGTTATGCAGTGCAATGATTTTATATGACGACGTTAAGGTTGTGATTATACATTGAGAGAGGGAATTTGTGAAAATTACGCGTACCGAATTGCAGTGACCGTTTTCGGTCCGTCGAGTTTTATCCCCGTGTGTAATCTGGAATTAGTGCCGCGTTATTTGCTATTCAGTTTATACATCGCAACAACATGGTCGACTTCATCGCCTATCCGGAGATCTCCTATCTCTACGATGAATTTATGATGGTACGATAAGCTTCTCTTTTAATTTTATAGATACCCATGTAGAAAGAAAGCCCGGAGTATAATTACGTCGTAAAATATCACACGCCCCGTTTAATTATATATATCTGAAATGTTATTATTATTAATGATCTGGGAATTACATCAGCCGCTAATTATTCACATCCCCCCTGTGTAACAGCTGCAAGTCGTTGCTTTCTATGGCTCATTCCGAGGCTATTAATCGTATAAGAGCGCTATTCTAGCTCTGATATGAAGCTATCAAGCTAATATATTGTTAGCTGGGCTAAATAGAGCTACGACGTATCTACAAATATAGATATTAATTCAATTAATTCTAATTTCAATCGAAATAGAACAAATCGATTCTATTCAAAAATTATAATGCGTATTTTCGCTCTAAAAAGCGAAAAAATGCGAAAAAATGCAGATATGTGCATCATTTGTGCACTCGTTGAGGAAAGTTCGTTTCTTTTTGTTTGAGATCACTTACTCGATGCAGATTCAATTTAAGACTCGCAATACTCCAAGAGTTTTGAATCCAATTTTTCTACTTTTCAATATTGCTTTAGTAATTGAAAGATATGATAAATTATTAATAAAACATCATTTTATTTCTTGCAGTTACAATCCATAATATTTACTCGCAAATCCATAACGCATTTAAAAATTAATATTTCCTTTCTGTTTTATCTCTCTATTCAGATCCACGTCTGAAATTGTCAGATAAATACGAATGTAAAATCTCTCACATTTTTCTCCGCGTATTTTGATATTCTGTTGCTTTAAGCTGTTTTCTTAGTTAACAGAATCGATCTAAAGAGAAAATAGAAAAACGTTTTCCTCGAGGGAATTATGCGATACGAATATCGATGCGTATCTACGAAATTCACGAGAAAATCAGCATCTCCACGTGGAGCACGAGGGCAGATCTTTCATTGTTCTTTATTCTCAGCCGTGAGACAACATTTCGCAATGACTTTACCGGTTAATTAATCGTTCGTACGACGGCGGCATAAAAGATTCACGTACATCTCTAGAGGAAAGTCACGATGTTCCCTCCCCTACCTCGTGATAGCGAGCGTGGAACGTGTCGAGGGAGATGAGGGTGGTAGGAAGGGTGAACCCTCACCACGAAGTGGAACTACTTTACGGGAATATCACTTTGATCCGACGCTTAATGAACGATGGACCGAGCTCGGTAAGAGTACCCAGACTGAATTTAATTAGGGCTCTTAACTTGCCGGGTCGAGAGCATGACGGAATCCCGTGCAGGTCCCGATGTGCGTGCGACAGAGACTGCCGAGGATCGCGGTAACGGAGCGGGGGGGAGGAGGGGGGGGGAGGGGGAGGAAGGGATCGGGGAATCGGGGATTGGTAAAAGCTCGGATGGAACGGCGGTGCGTACGCGCGCTCACGGGAAGGGAAAGGCTTTTTGCTTTGAGAAACGACGGAGCAGATTCCGTCACGCTGATGACGACGTCGACGATTCGAGTCGAGCCGATTGTCATGCAAATCACGGAACGGAGCGACCCGTTATTGACTCGCGGCGGCCGGTCTCTCGTCGCACTTCCGCGCGATTCGCGTTTTCATCTCGGGACGAGCGGGGAGAAAATCGAGAGCCTCGCCATCGTCGATCGAGTCGCGCTGCCGCTTTTCCGTCGGCAGTGGCGGTGCAGGCGTAGCGGGTAATTACACCGGGCTGAGCTAGTAATTAGAAGGAGGGAACGACTCTGCCGCCACCGGACCAGGATAGGAAAATTGAAACAGCTCGGCGTGACGGCGGAACGCTATCGGGCCGGATCTCGATGACCGGATCGTTCGCGCGATTTCACGGAGCTTTAATCCTTTGATCGAGAAATCGCTCCCGCCAACGAATGCGCGCGCGGCGCCTTTTAATTTCGCGGGTAAACAAGCCCGTTTAAAACAGCACGATATTTTCAGCCGAGTATTTTCATCCTAACACAATTTTTATTTTTTTATGCCGAAACAATTACGTTAATGCGAATGTAATTGCGTGAAAGAATTACCACCGTTTTACATTGGGTTTGTAATTTTATTTACTTTAAACGAATGCAAATTATAATGCAAATGGATACGGTACGTTTATTCTCATGACACGAAACAATTTCGTGATATACGTTTTGTTTTTTCTTTTTTCCTACATTTCCCAATATTAAAAATGAGAGAATCCAAAAATATAAATAAGAAGATAATCACGAAATTAGGTGTATCGCGGAAATATCTTTCTCTCTCTTTATCCACTTGCACGATTGTACAGGGACTCATCTTTTTGCTCTTCTTTCCTCCTGAGCTATCGTCGCGATTTCTAATATTGCTGGCGACATCCTCGACGGGGTTTTCAGAGACAGGCGCGGACGAGCGCGAAACGGAAATTGAATGCGTCCCTCCGGCGGAAAAATAATGTCCCAGTTTTAGAAGTTTGATCAGGCGGGCAAAGCTCATTTCGCCGCGAGATCACGACGGCACTCGACCCGGTGGTTCTTCGGTACAGAGCTCGTTCACCGCGAATCGACCTTTTTACGACGGCGAACGTGCACGGCGCGCGGCGGCGGCGGCGGCGGCGGCGGCGGCGGCGGCGACGGTGCCGTGCACTTGCGTGCGCGCGGCGGCTTGATCTCCCGTGGAAATTGAGAAAACTTTATTTACCCCGACGCGGTCGTGGAAAACATCGGGGAACGCGAGAAATAGGAATTGCGCGAGCAAACCCCTTACCATTTGCCGGGGCAAACAAGGACGCGCCCCTCGTGGCCAGTCCCGGTGCCGAACTTATTTTCACGTCGCGATACCGAGTGCAGCCCATAGGGCAGTAAACTGTTCCGTGAGAAGTAGAGGGAATATCCGACACGAAGGAAGTAAGAAGAAATAGGAAGCGGAGCGAAACCGCAAGTTCTCCTCATTACTTCTGTAAGGATTAGCTAGAACAGAGGGAACGTTAAAGTAAATAAAATGAGACCGAATTTGAGGCAATAGCTTCCTCGACGTAAATTCCTACCTACGACGGGAAAGCGAATTTATTCGCACCATAAATATTTCGATTACGATTATATTATACAATACGATATTACGATTATAATAAATTTTTTCTCGAATAAGATCGCAAGACGTAGCAATATAGTTCTTGGCGGAAACTACGCGAAAGGAAAAACTTGTATACACTTGGGTGGTACGTGGTGCACAGTATGTTGGATGTAGATGTATATAGGCAGCTACGAAATTCGCGTTGCGAATACCTAAAAATAGTCGAAGATCGTGCAAACACTCGAGGCACCATTAGCCGTTACTATTTCCAGACAGCTGCTCTTTAAACAGCAGAAGTATTGGAGGAAATATCAGCGAGATTTCGGCGGAAATATCAGCCGGTCTAACTTTCTTTGCTCACCGACGTTACCGTATTTCCGACCGATTTCCCCGTCTCCATCCATATACCGTCCATTTACTTAAATCATCTCGCGATTGCTCCGTCGGCACGTGTCTAATATAAATATTTACGCCGGCCCAGCCAGCCAGGCTGACATCACGTTCATTTTAGGTTTTCCGACAAAGATCGACTCGCCCGCTCTCAATTCCTGCCGGCTTAGTTGGCTAAAATTATCCTGAGAGTAAACGTCATTGTGTAGATGAAGGTACTATCATGAAGTTACGAGTGCATTACCACGGATCTGTATTGGAAATCCCATCCCCCCCTGCCCGTCGCAGGTAAGAGGATGACGCCGTTGTAGTTCTTGATTTCATTTAATGGACTTTGCCTATCGCGCAGCGCAACTGTCAGTCGAAAACGAGGTCAATGGAGTCTCGTAATCCTGTGACATGTACAAGTCAATATCGAGCCAACTTTTTTCGTTACGTAATTTACACGCGGGCTTATCGGATTTTACACAGCCCTCGCGCTCGCTCGCTCGCTCGCTCGCCCGCCCGCGCGCAGACAAAAAGCCGTAGTCGTACGGCGAACACGCGAGAGGAGTTTCGAGCAAGTGTTGGGAAAATATTCTGGGGGTTTTTCCAACGGGTTTTTTTATCAGCGATAGGTCGCTTCACCTTTACGCGCGAGGGCATGGAAAGAGTGTCCTTCCTCCAATGCGTTCAGGTATTGTCGACGGTATCTCGATCGGGCAGTGGACAGGCTTTATGTTTCT